GTGTGAGTTAAATTAAAGAAGATGATTATTATTTTTTGAAATGACATAAATAAAATATCTGTATTATTTTATATGTATATATAAAGACTAAGTGATAAATATGTTATGTGAGAGAGAATCTATATTAAACAGAAATCTCACGAGTGTCGGTGTAATTTACCCTATATTATTACTCATTTTTAAAATTAATAATGTAATCTTATTTTTAAGGGATTTTTTTTAAGGTCCTTAATAATAACAATTTAGAGGATAAAGGACACACAAAAAGATAGTGATGCCTCACGTCCCTGAAACAACTTCGCGCGCGTTTTTAATTATTTTGTGGACCAAAATACCCTCGCCAAAATCAACACAGAACCAAACTCATTCCGACTTCTCAGTTACATTCCAAACATCCAGCACCTTCACGAACAGGAGAACAACAGAATTAGGGTTTCAACATCATCTGCACCATCGACATTACAGCTTCGTTATCTTCTCCAAAAATCATTCCCATTCCTTCCTCACAAATTTCTCTGACCTAGGTTAAAGCTTCGTTTTCACGGCTCATCATCATCTCAGTCCATCTTCGTCACGTCGCATTCTCATCGCGGGCCATATCAGCTCATCATTCAAGGTTCATCCTAACTCTGGTCAGTTTTTCTACAATACAACTAGATTTTCTCTGGAAACACAGTTAATAGCATTTTATAATAACCTTTCATAAATTAGGGTTTCAATTTCGTAATAAAAAGCTACCTGAATTTGAAAAAATTTATTTCTGTGTATTTGAAATTATTCTTCAACATATTTGTGTGATTTTATTTGTAAATTTCTCTGGCATTTGAATTTCTCTGATTTTTGATTAATGTAATTTTCTTCTTTCAATTTTCTCTGCATGTTTATTTTCACAACAATTTTTTGTGTTTTTATCTTATTCTTGAACATGTTTCTGTAATTCTGTCTATAAATTTTCCTGCTCCGTAAATTTCTCTGTAATATGTATTTTTAATTGCAATGTCTATCTAATCTAGAATGTCTATTGCTTTCTTGCCTCTGTCTTAAGTTTCTCTGGTATTTATAATTTTCTCTGACCACATCACATCACTTTCCTCCCTTGTGTCTTTGTCATTTTCAATTTTCTCTGGAATTTTAATATTGTGGACTGGAATGAATGTTTTTTCTTGGAATTTTCTCTGCCATATGTACTTTATGAGAAAAGTTATTTCTCTGAATTTTGATCTTATTCTTGAATATGTTTATGTCATTTTGTCTCTTAATTTCTCTGCTTTGTAAATTTCTCTGGAATATGTATCCTTCTCTGCAATGTCAATTACACTCTTGCCCCTGTCTTAAGTTTCTCTGGTATTTATAATTTTCTCTGACCACATCGCACCACTTTCCTCCATTGAGTGTCTCTATCATGGTAATTTTCTCTGTTTGTGTATGTAAATTTTTCTTGCATTTTAATATTATGTAATTGAAATTTTCTCTGAATGAAAATTTCCTCAATAATGTGTAATTTTCTCCAGAATGTGCATTTCTCTCTGTATGTTTATTTTGTTCAATTCTTGATTTCAATGTGGTGTACTTTCAGTGCCATGTTTACATTACTTTGTTTATTTTATCTTTGCTAATTGTGGAATGCAAATTTTCTTTCACTTGCCATATTTACTTTTTCTATCATTCTTTTTCTGGTATTTTACCATCTCTCTTGTGTTTGGAATTTATCTCAGGTTGAGCTGTATACGCGCCTAATTGTTTGTTTTTAGACCTCTTCTCACGAATTCAGCGTGGTTAGAGTTTTGTTTCTTCCTCACACGATTTCAGCATGTCTTGAATTTATCTCAGGTTGCGCTGTATACGCGCCTGATTGTTTGTTTTTAGACTTCTTCTGTCCCATGAGGTGCTTTCTAAAGCGCCGCTTTGTTTGTTTATTGCATTCCCTAGACATCATGCTCTACATTGCTTGTAACATGTATCATATCATCACACATATTGCATAAATGCATCTTATACTCTACTTATTTTTGTTGTCGCATAGAATATACACGTTACATTGGTTGTACGTCGTTGATCCTTTTGCATATAGTATGTACATTGCATGGAGCACGTTTTAACCTTGCTTGCATAGAATGTGCACTTCTCACCCTGGCATGAAATGCGCATCTTAATGTTGCATGGAGCATACATTTCTTGCACTTGCCTTGTTATGCATGTCTTACGTGCATTGTCATGCACCTTCTCACTTGCATTGTTATGCACTTTTCAGTTGCATTGTTATGCGTATTCCAGTTGCATTGTTATGCACGTTCCAGTTGCATTGTAATGCACACTTCACTTGCATTGTTATGCACTTTTCAGTTACATTGTTATGCACACTCTAGTTGCATTGTTATGCACGTTCCAGTTGCATTGTTATGCACACTTCACCTGCATTGTAATGCACACTCCAGTTGCATTGTTATGCACCCTCTTCATTTGCATTGTTATGCACACTTTACTTGCATTGTCACGCACCTTACTTGCATTGTTATGCACACTTTACGTGCGTTGTCACGCACCTTCATTTGCATTGTTATGCACGCTCCACTCGCATTGTTATGCACCGTTTTATTTGCATTGTTATGCACCCCTTTCACTTGCGTTGTCACGCACTTTTTACTTGCATTGTATATGCACTTTTCACACTTGCACTGAAAATGCACTTAAGTATCTCGCATAGAATATGCATTTGTTACTCCCGCGTCAGACATGCATTCATTATTCTTGTATAGGATATGTATCCTGATATTGCATGGAACATGCATTTGTCATCCTTGCATTGCTATGCACCCTCCAGCTGCATTGTTATGCACACTTTACTCG